CTTTGTTTCTAGATGTTGGAGCTTGGCCTGTTTTTCAGTGTAGTCCTGTTTCTCTGACTGTGACTAACTGGATGTGCTCTCTTCATCCTCTGACATGGGAGCTGGCTCGGAGCTCGTCTGCCTGGCTGTGCGTTTCCTGGACGGGGCCGCCTGTGGAGCTGGTTGACAGTTGCCTTTTGTATCTATGCTTCTTTTTCTATGTCTGCTTCTGTCTCCTTGAACCCCAGTCAGCCTCAGCAGATGGCCGCTCACACTGAGCCTGGTTCTGCTGGAGGTTTCTTCCTGTTCAAAGGGAGTTTTTCCTCTCCACTGTCGCTACAAGCATGCTTAGTGTGAGGGATTGCTGAAGAGTCAATGAGTCGATGCAATCAGCTGGTTCAACCCAGTCTCATGGGAAAATGTAACCCCACTACGTTGGTCCACACTGCAAAACGTAGTGGAGGTACATTAATGGCCATCTTTTTTGTGGTACTGTTACATTTCTTCTGCCTATACGCTTTCTATTGTTTTACGTCCTAGTCACGTGACTTTCAAGATTCCAGCTGGGAGAAGAAAAAAATATATATAGATGGCCGACATTTGCTCATTTTTTTTGTGGAAAGATTAATAACTTGAGTTTGTTTTTGCATTAAAATGAGTTTTGATTACATTTCTAGTGAGAAATGTATAGTTTGTTGCCAGAATATTTACTCAGGGAATGTACATATTCACTTGCTTGTTCGTTTCTTGCAAAGATTTTTCAAGATAATGTGAAACTGAAACGTTTTGGTATAAACATGGATGAGATTTCTCTAACTTTTAGTGGGAAAATCAATAATTTCAATCAGTTTCTGCATTTAAATGGGTTTTGATTACATTTATAGGGAGAAGTCTAGGGTTTATTTACATAATATTTACTTAGTGAACATACATAATCACCCGCTTGCTAGTTTTTGCTACGGGTTTTCGGATCTCGTCAGGATTATGTGAAATTGCAACGTTTTGGCTGCTACCCATCGCCTAGCATTTAGCTGCCGCCCCGATTCAACATTGAATTCTTTGTGATTTAACTCCATCTGACGGATCAAACCCTCGCCACTGCGTGCGTTGCGTCTGAGGTTGATTTTCAGATCAATGCATTACGTCGTGGCATACGGGAGAAAATAATTAAACTAGTTCAAAAAAGGATCATGGGTTAAGATCGGATGTGTTTTATTTGGAAATCTACCGGATCCTTTGTGCAATTAACTTCCTGTTTGGTGCGATCTCATTGATGGATTTTGACCAGATTTTGACCAAAGAGGAACTAAAAAAAAAAAACAAACAATTTAAATACACAACCAGCATATCTGGAATCAGTGACAGAGAGCGACTGGGACCAGAAGTTTATTAATTTCTCCCCATTGATTTCCATTCAAAATGTTTTCGCCCCCACCGGGCTCTAGGGAAGGGGCGGGGATACCGCCACCTACTGTTCATGAGTGTGTAGCAACATTGTTTTACATCTATTAAATTCTACTTTTTAATTTTGTATTCTGAAGATAAATAAATAATGCTTTCCTTAATCTATAAATATCTTTTATATTTCCTTTATTTCCCAATAATCCTTTAAGACTCCATTCTTGGCCTGTCCTTTCAACTCTTTTCAATTTCTTCCTTTCAGGTTCATATGTTTTACAGTTCATCAATACGTCTACATTTTCTATCTCTCCACATCCTTCACATTTATCATAATTTTTCCTCCCTATTAAGTATAAATTGTCATTTAAATAAGTATGACCTACTCTTAATCTGATCATTATTATTTCTTCCCTTCGGTTTCTCTCATTAATATTTCTATTTAATACTGATATGCTGATGAAGGTTCTCAGTCATCCAGGTCATCGTCATTCCGTAAAAATTCAAAAAATATCCACTGGACTTGGTTTTCAAGATTGAAAACCAAGTCCAGTGGATATTTTTTGAATTTTTACGGAATATTTAATACTGACTTTTGTACTTTATATAACCTTCTTCGTTTTTTATCTTCATTCCACCTTTTTTTTTGCCATTTTTCAATTTCTTTCCTCTTAATAAATGATTTTCCTTCCCCTTTCCCTAAAGGAATTGTAATTGTTATTGCCTCCTCTAATTGCTAATTTGTCTACTACTACCCCACTACTACCTGTAGTGGGGGTACATTTTCCCACTTTGACCTTTTAAGGTTAGCATATTGACCAAAAGCTGACACCAAAAATAAAGCAATCGATTATTTACAACAATATGCTACATTTAATGAAAACTAATACAGATTTTACTCTCTTATAAGAATTCGTTTTAGGTTTTATAGGGGAGAGTTTGCATCGGCAGTCATCTGGGAATCTTTTATGTATTTACTGGTAAAAAACAACCTCTCAACCCATTTAATGTAAATGTTGCGTCGAACCAGAAAGTTATTTGAAGAGCATAGATGCATAAATATGTGCATAGCTTTAACAAGGGCCTCATGAAGGTCTGTTCTGTTATTCTCTTTTGGAGAATATAGACATTGTGGGCATTCATTTCCCTGATAAGCTGGTGAAGATTCTTAGACATCCAGGTCATAATCATTCCAAAAAAAAAGAAAAAAAAAAACTTTGGACTTTGTTTTTCAAGTTTGAAGACTTCCCATTCAGGACGTTTTTCAATTAAAAATTACAGTAGCCCAACAAATCCTTGTTTTGGCTAAGAAAATATGCAAATTGAACCTGATGCCTGATCCCAATAGCTTGACTCTGAACCGAATTTGATCCCTATTACTTTTTGGCCACATGCACATTATTGTGCTGCCTGGTCAACCCTAAGAAAATGTTCTGGAACTGCCACTGAACTGACACCCAATGCATGGAGGGTAACCCAAAAAGGGCCATTGTTAGAGAAACTGGGTGCCTACAAAGTGCTGTTTTCAAGCTAATTAATGGAAAGTTAGGTGGAATGAAAAGTAGACAAATAACAATTACAATTCCTTTAGGGAAAGGAAAATCATTTATTAAGAGGAAAGACATTGAAAAATGGCAAAAAAGGTGGAATGAAGATAAAAAAGGAAGAAGGTTATATAAAGTACAAAAGTCAGTATTAAATAGAAATATTAATGAGAGAAACCGAAGGGAAGAAATAATAATGATCAGATTAAGAGTAGGTCATACTTATTTAAATGACAATTTATACTTAATAGGGAGGAAAAATTATGATAAATGTGAAGGATGTGGAGAGATAGAAAATGTATAACATGTATTGATGAACTTTAAAACATCTGGACCTGAAAGGAAGAAATTGAAAAGAGTTGAAAGGACAGGCCAAGAGTGGAGTCTTAAAGGATTATTGGGAAATAAAGGAAATATAAAAGATATTTATAGATTAAGGAAAGCATTATTTATTTATCTTCAGAATACAAAATTAAAAAGTAGAATTTAATAGATGTAAAACAATGTTGCTACACACTCATGAACAGTAGGTGGCGGTATGCCCGCCCCTTCCCTAGAGCCCGGTGGGAGCGAAAACATTTTGAATGGAAATCAATGGGGAGAAATTAATAAACTTCTGGTCCCAGTCGCTCTCTGTCACTGATTCCAGATATGCTGGTTGTGTATTTAAAATTTTTTTTTTTTTTTTGAGTTCCTCTTTGGTCAAAATCTGGTCAAAACCCATCAATGAGATCGCACCAAACAGGAAGTTAAATGCACAAAGGATCCGGTAGATTTCCAAATAAAACACGTCCGAGCTTAACCCATGATCCTTTTTTGAACTAGTTTAATTAGTTTCTCCCGTATGCCACGACGTAATGCATTGATCTGAAAATCAACCTCAGACGCAACGCACGCAGTGGCGAGGGTTTGATCCGTCAGATGGAGTTAAATCACAAAGAATTCAATGTTGAATCGGGGCGGCAGCTAAATGCTAGGCGATGGGTAGCAGCCAAAACGTTGCAATTTCACATAATCCTGACGAGATCCGAAAAACCGTAGCAAAAACTAGCAAGCGGGTGATTATGTATGTTCACTAAGTAAATATTATGTAAATAAACCCTACACTTCTCGATATAAATGTAATCAAAACCCATTTAAATGCAGAAACTGATTGAAATTATTGATTTTCCCACTAAATGTTAGAGAAAGCTCAGCCATGTTTATACCAAAACGTTTCAGTTTCACATTATCTTGAAAAATCTTTGCAAGAAACGAACAAGCAAGTGAATATGTACATTCCCTGAGTAAATATTCTGGCAACAAACTATACATTTCTCACTAGAAATGTAATCAAAACTCATTTTAATGCAAAAACAAACTCAAGTTATTAATCTTTCCACAAAAAAATAAGCAAATGTCGGCCATCTATATATATTTTTTTCTTCTCCCAGCTGGAATCTTGAAAGTCACGTGACTAGGACGTAAAACAATAGAAAGCGTATAGGCAGAAGAAATGTAACAGTACCACAAAAAAATGGCCATTAATGTACCTCCACTACGTTTTGCAGTGTGGACCAACGTAGTGGGGGTACATTTTCCCATGAGACTGGGTTGGCTGGTTTTCCTTAGATGGAAAACTTTGAATCAATCTGACTGGATGATCTGGTGAACTGGAAAGTGACCTGAGATGACATGATGTGAATTGGAGCTATAGAAGTAAATATAACCAGAAAAAGAACGCTGCACATAAAAGTTCAGCTACTGTTGGCTGCTGGTGAATTATCAATTAAATCTTAATCAGAGGTTTGGTTTCCAAACTTCCTCCTTATGATGGAAAACCCCTTTAAAAGTTCACAGGAAGTGACACGAAACCTTCACCCTTGTTTTAATAAAACACTGGAAAATATGAGACATTATGTTACTTTTTCTGATCACTGATATAAAATCCCATATTAAAACTATATTTTATTGGAGAAATCTCTCAAGTTGAGGTTAAGCTGTCTCAACAAAAGTCTAGAACTGCTTGATAAAATATCCACCCTCCTCTCTGACCTTCATACCTGAGACTTGCCAGTAAATATGTGTCCCTCTTCCTCATTTGCATGAACAGAGAAGCAGTATGCACCGACCAAACTGGCTCAGACTAACAGGAACAGCAGAGAGGCGAAACACAGAGCAGCAACCAGTGTGGGGATACATGACTAACTGAAAAAATAGCAGGGAGAAGCAATGTCTCTCAGAGCAGAGGAGGATCTCTGCTGCTCCATCTGTCAGGATGTCTTCAATGATCCTGTTGTCTTGTTCTGCAGCCACAGCTTCTGTAGATCCTGCCTGAATAACTGGTGGGATGGGAAAGTCATACTGGAGTGTCCTCTATGTAAGAAGAGATCGGCCACAAGGGATCCTCCCAGCAACCTGGCTTTAAAAAAGCTCTGCGAGAAAATCCTTTCGAAGGGAAGGAAGAAACCTGCTCCAAAGCCAAAGGTTATCTGCCGTCTCCACGGTGAGAAATTCAAACTCTTCTGCGTGGAGCACAGGGAGCCTTTGTGTCTCGTTTGTCAGCATTCAGATGAACATGCTGGACACAAGTTCAAACCCATCAATGAAGTCGCCGAGGGGCAGAAGACAGAGCTCAGAAAGGCCCTGGGGCCCCTACAGCAGAAGCTGAAGGTCTTCAGAGAGGAGAAAGGAAACCTGAATGAGACGGTGAAGCACGTTAAGCTCCAGGCTGAACAGACGGAGGGACGGATCAGGGAGCAGTTCAGGAAGCTACGTCTGTTTCTCCAGAGGGAAGAAGACACCAGGATTGCTGCTCTGAGGACAGAAGAAAGCAAGAAGATCCAGACGTTAAACCTAAAGATTGATGCCCTCAATAAAGAGATTGCTGCTCTTTCCCGGAGCATCAATGAAACAGAAGGAATGCTGAAAGCTGAGGATGCTTTGTTGCTGCTGAAATTCAAGACTGCTGTGCAAACTCTCCGACAGCGCCCCCTGCTGGACGACCCGCAGCCCGTCTCAGGGGCCCTGATAGATGTGGCCAAACACCTGGGAAACCTCCCCTTCAACATCTGGAGCAAGATGAAACATCTGGTGTCCTACACTCCTGTGGTTCTGGACCCGAACACGGCCAACTTTGAGCTCATCCTGTCCGAGGATCTGACCATGCTGAGATGCGGACAGAAACAGAACCTCCCGGACAACCCAGAGAGGTTCGACTTCTTCCGCATCGTCCTGGGCTCTGAGGGCTTCATGTCAGGAATCTACAGCTGGGACGTTGATGTTGGAGAAAACACAGACTGGTTTGTGGGCGTCGCTTCACAGGGAGTCCAGAGGAAAGGAATTCATCCGACCCGTCTGTGGAGAATAGGGTGCTTGAAGGGTAAATACACAGCTAGGGCCCTTTCAGAACCTTCCACGGTTCTGGCGGTGAACGGAAGCCTCAGCAGGATCAGGGTCCTCTTGGACTGGAACAGGGGGAAGCTGATGTTCTTCGATCTTGATAGTAACACTATCATTCACACCTTCACTCACTCCTTCACTGAGAAACTGTTTCCATACCTCAACACCTCCAGTGAATCACCGCTGAAGATAATACCTGAACCTTTATCTCTGAGGCTGAGTTCAAACAAATAGCAAAGCTGCTAAAATCCTCCAGGAGCTTCAGCATCGACCAAAATCCACCAAATCATCCTGTGATGAAGTCGGTGTTGTTCCATTATTATTAAAAGCAAAGAAGTTTTGATACAAATGCGATGCAGAAATTTTAATTTAGCAGTTTTCCTAATAAAAAAAAAAAGTTTTGAGACTAAATTTAGTGTTTAGGGCGTAGAGCTTGGAATCCTGAGCTTCTGAGTTCGAGCCCCACTCCCACAGACTGCCACTCTGGGTCCCTGAGCAAGACCCTTATACTGCTCTGACTGTGACTAACTGGATGTGCTCTCTTCATCCTCTGACATGGGAGCTGGCTCGGAGCTCGTCTGCCTGGCTGTGTGTTTCCTGGACGGGGCCGCCTGTGGAGCTGGTTGACAGTTGCCTTTTGTATCTATGCTTCTTTTTCTATGTCTGCTTCTGTCTCCTTGAACCCCAGTGGGCCTCAGCAAATGGCCGCTCACACTGAGCCTGGTTCTGCTGGAGGTTTCTTCCTGTTCAAAGGGAGTTTTTCCTCTCCACTGTCGCTACAAGCATGCTTAGTGTGAGGGATTGCTGAAGAGTCAATGAGTCGATGCAATCAGCTGGTTTTCCTTAGATAGAAAACTTTGAATCAATCTGACTGGATGATCTGGTGAACTGGAAAGTGACCTGAGATGACATGATGTGAATTGGCGTAATAGAAATAAACTGAATTGAAATCAATAAAAGCTGGAAAAAAATTATTGATTTCTCAAATTGTATTAATTATGTGTTCTTTATTTATCTTTTATCTCCAAGTTTTTGTAATTTGTATTCAAAATAAAAAAATAAAATAAAAAAAAGCTGGAAATGTTTTCAAATCAAATGCTTAAAATATTACCTTTCAAATTTTATTTCAGTTTCTAAATTTTTTTTTTTACTTTTTTTTAAACCTAATTTTATTTGATCAAATTTAAACTTTTTATATTTCTCTTTTTCCGATTGAGTTTTGCAAAATGTATTTTTTAAGTTAATTTTAACAGACCATGCTGCGCTTTCCTCTGGTCTGCATAAACAGCAACAACATTGAATCGATCAATGTGTGTGAAGACTGAAACACTGTATAAAAATGCAATTTGTTAAACTGAAACTGAAAAAGAGAAATAAATATTTGGAACTAATGTGTAGAATATGTAGAGTAGGCTATAGAATATGTAGAATAGAAAAATAAAACAGCAGTTATTCTTTTACTTTTTAATTAAGAAGTTTCTGTGATTTTTGTGGTAAATAAAGTTTAACCGTAGTACTTTTATGTGACTCTGCAGTATAAGTATTTTTTTTTCCTGGACCTTTTCTCAGTTAAATAAATTAATAAACATAAAATAAACTAGTAAAAGCTGTTTCGGAGAAACAGCAAAGTGGGAATGCAGTTTTCTGCTGAATTAAAAAAGAAAAATTAGCCAAAGAAACTGAATAAAGAAATTAGTAGAGAAAAACAATGTAATAGGAAATAAGCAGAAACTTCAAACTGCAGAAAACAATCGAATCATATGCAGATTTTGTAGGTTTGTGCCTATAACTCTGGCATTATAAGGCGTGTTAATGTCATTCCTTCACTTTTTAATTCAGGATGGAGAGGGGTATAATGTGTTAGAGCTGTTTTTGTAGAAAATAGTTTTCAAAATTGGCAAAATGTGCAAAATTAGTAAAACTTTGTGTTGAATTATGGTTAATAAATAAAAACGTATAGTAGATACTGATATGGATGTGTAACTGTGACAATCAGCTGGCTTTGAGGAATGATTATACCAACTTTTAATGATTTCTATTGGGGGAGTGTGGACTTCATCCCGGTCTGGGCCAAACTGCAGGAACACCTTAAACCCCACACCAATGAGGATTACATTTCCTGAATCCTGACAAAAATTCCTACGTTTTGATGCATGAGCGAGTGAGAAGAATTTGTTGGGAAAAACCAGAACGGCTCAAAAGCCAGAGCGCGCACTCTGACAGTTGAATTCCTCCCATATAGACTTGCATTATAAAATTGAAAACCTGAAAAAATGTGTATAAAGTTTGAATCCTAATTTTTTTACGGAAGAGGATTAAGGCCACTGAAAAAAAAAGGTAACTGATTTTTAAATTTTATTTCAGTCTAACATGGGAAAAAAGTCAGAATTCTGACTTTTGTCTCAGATTTCTGACTTAATTCTGACAATAAAAAAGTCAGAATTCTGAGATTAAAGTCAGAATTCTGACTTTTTTCCCCATACTATACTGAAATAAAATAAAAAAATCAGTTAACTTTTTTTTTTCAGTGGCCCTAATCCTCTTCCGTATTTTTTAAAGTTCAAAGATGGCGAAGTTTTAGCTGAATTTAGCTGAAATCTGAGAATTCTACATGCATTTTAATGGGACAAAAAAACATTTAATGAAAAGAATGAAAAAAGAAAACAGCAAAGTGATCATCAAAAAGCCTTTTTCAGGATTATGAACATTTTACCTTTCATTTTTGGATTCTAGTTTTTCCAAAATATTTAAAATCAATCCACTGGACTTTGTTTCCACGTTTAAAGACGTTTCTCTTCCATCCAGGAAGCTTTTTCAATTCAAAATGTCAGAAATAGCGTTTGAGGTTTTATCCAGCAGCCCAATAAAACCTTGTTTTTGTTTAGAAAACATGCAAATTGAAATGGACGAACGGGTCCCCCCCTTTGGAATGGGGGTCGTTTGGCTTCTTTGTTAGCCTGCAATGCCCCATACCTGTCTATGTCACTGAAAGGGGGGGTTGTTAACCCTTTATAGGACACAGTGAAATACTTTGAAAATCAAAATTTCAAGCCAATGGTGTTATTGGAATCCAGGATAAGACTGTATTACCTTTGTGACATAAAAAATATGGATATTTTGATGGCAAAAATTAATGTAATAACAAGAAATTCCAACTTACCCGAATATATTAACAAAAATAACAAAATTTCTTCTATAAGAAATGAATGAAAAACCCTCTGAGAGTGAAAGAAACATGTTTTTTTGGCTCAGGTTTTTGAAAGCTCAAACCTGAGTCCCCCCCCTGTTTAAGGTTTTTCTTTCCTAACATAGATGGCTTCCTTCACGCCCCTCTCAATCCACCTGTCTTCTTTGTCCAAAATGTGAACATTCTGGTCCTCCAAAGAAAGTCCTTTGTCCATCATGTGTACATGTAGTGCAGAGTCTTGTCCAGAGGAGGGCGCTCTCCTGTGTTGGGCCATGCGTCTGTGGAGAGGTTGTTTGGTTTCTCCAATATAAAGATCAGAGCATTCCTCACTGCACTGAACTGCAGACACCACTCTGCTCAGATTTGGTTTGTTTTCTCCAAATGTTCATTTATTTAACATGTTCTTTGCTTGATACAATAATGGAACAAACTACACTCCATATTTTAAATTTGGATTGCAGGCCACCATGGGCCAGAGAGAAGTCATGGAGTACATTTCCTCCTCCAGACTATCAAAAATATGCAGGTAAGGCCACATCTGCTTTAGCTATTCACTTCAGTTCAATTCCATTTATTTAAACTGCGGCAATTTACAACACATCTCAAGGTATTTCACAGAGGCAATTCACCAGATCATACAGTCAAATTGATTCGACTCATTGACTTTTCAGCAATCTGTCACACTAAGCATGCTTGTAGCGACAGTGGAGAGGAAAACTCCCTTGTAACACAAAGAATTGAGAGATTATTTTTTTTAATCTCTCATCCTCGTGGTTCCTTTATGTGTTTAAGATTAGAAATCATCTTTCATGTGGATTCCATCAGATGAAGCCTTGGCTGAAGCAGCTGCAGGGAGAGTGATTGTGTTTGAATGCTTTATAAATGAGGTTGGTTGGATGGCATATTTTTAACCTGTTTTTTTTAGTCATGACCTTGTTAAATAATGCGGAAGTATTTGCTTTTCATCATTTGACTGTTGGTGGAGTTCATAAATGTACTAATTATGTAAGTATGTTGATTGATGTCAGACAAAAGGAGAAGTGAAGCCCTCATACTTGCCTCTCTGTAATTAAGTGGCTGTAAAAAAAAAAACTCTGATGGAGGAAATGGTAAGCGGTAAAGTACAGAGGATCAATCATAGCAGTTGCGGATTTTTTAAGGAGGAGCGGCTGTACCTGCTCCAGTTTCTTTCTATTTTTTTTTGTTTAAAGAATTGTGGTCGGAAAATATAGATCTCTCTTATTTCATATATTGATTTATGTTATTTACTCGCTATTAAAGTTTTTTACTCAGTCTGTTTCACCTGCAGGGCCACACAATGCCTGAGTGAGGGGTGTTTGTAGACAAGACGTACTTATTTCCATAACAAACCAGATTCTTTCTCAAGGTTTATTCATAACATGTTACTGTTTAACCAAAGTGTCTGTAATTTGTTTTAACTCTGACTACTTTCCATTGTTGTAAGTAAGGAGGAACGAAGAACGAACGCTGCCCAGGCAGAACAGGACTGATTACCGTGCATAATGTAAAGTATGATGAACTGTTCTCTTTTGCAAAGATAAAATAAAGTGCAGACTGAATGAAATCCATTGATCTCTGTATATTTAACTGGGGTGAATAGCAGAATACTTTTTTACCACGAAAAATATGCAGAACTAAACACAAAAATTTGAATTGCACAGTAGCCAAGTTATTAGGCCTGCTGGTTTACAGGAAGAAGGTTCTGGATTAAAGTGCTTCATAAAGTGTAGATAGATTGACATCAGAGTCCTGGTGGAGTAAATATGCAGAGAGGTACTGTGGAACAAATGCAAATCATTATACCTCCACCACCGTGTTTAACAGACGTACAACAGAGACCAAACATCCGTGCTTTGGTCTGAACTGTCAACAATTAAAGAAGAAATTTTTTAGTCATCTAGTTAAGAGGCGATGCATTTTTCCAACCTTCTCCTTTATCCCGTTCAAACAAAAACTAGCTGGTAGGTAGTTATTTTTTAAAGATTTTTAAAGATCCCAGACTGATTTGCAGCTGCAAACTCATAGCAGGATATGCATATTATACATAAAACTAACGCTTCAGAAAACTATGGTAGATAAAAAGTGCCAAAATTAAATAAATAAATACAGCATTAAATAAATAATTAAATGTGTCAATAATTAATTAAATGTGGAATTAAATATATAAATGTGTCATTAATTTAATGAAATACATCTTCATTTTATTACAAAATATATATATAATTATTTCAGTGTGCATTTAATTATTTCATGGTCCTGTGTCGCAGTGCATCGAAACCATTAAAAGAATCTGTCAAACTCACCCATCAAAGTTAGGGGGCGGGGTTAACGCGAATCGAGTCTCTG